CGGGGGTGGCTTCCCGGGCGGGCGGGCCTGTGGGAGGCGGCGCTGACGGGCGCGGGGCCTTGCAGAGCTGAGGAAAGCCAGCAAGAGGCTGACCTGCCACAAGCGGTACAAGATCCAGAAGAAGGTGAGTCCCTGCGAGCTCGCTGAGCCGACGCTTTAGCTGAAGTTAACGCTGAAAGCATTTAAAAATGCACAGAAACGCGTTGTGCTTACACGTGTGCGCAGTAAGGATGTTACACTGAGTGTTCAGGGGTCTGAGCTACAGGGAGGAATTTGCTTCCCAGATGCCCTTGGCCGAAGGATCATGCAGAAGAGATTGTAGGTTTTTTACATCGTTACATTTTGCATGATTTTGGGCTGGAACGTTCAAGTGTGGCTTTAAGATGAGATATTGTGCAATCAAAACGCTTCGTTCTGAAGTCAGAAATGGACCATTTTGTGCCCTGGGAATACAAGGGATGCATCCCTCTCTTTTTGCCTTAGACTGAGAGAATGTTCTTATACCTGTCTTCAGATCAGGGAACATCACCGAAAAGTAAGGAAGGAGGCCAAAAAACGTGGACACAGAAAGCCCAAGAAAGATCCTGGTGTTCCCAGTGCTGCACCATTTAAGGAAGAGCTCCTACGAGAAGCAGAGCAAAGAAAGCAGAGGGTAAGATACAGTTTGAGTTGAAGAACTGAGACCACTCCTGTTTTCCAGGAAGCATGTGTGTGCACACCCAGAGGTGCAATCATGGTAGATGAGAACTGGTCGTATTTTCAGCATTTTACAGTGTGTAACAGTTTGCTCTTTTGTTTTTAACCTTCATTTCATCACTGTGACTCCAGTGTCATTTCTAATGTGGTCAGAATTGCCTCTGATGTTCAGACACAGAGATGTCTTATTAGAATGTTAAAACTTGCGTCTTGTCATTATTTAATTCTACAGAAAGTAAGGATTTGCTGTCTGCAGCGTGGAGTAATGTGACATGAGGGCAGCACCCTTAGTATCCTGTTGTGTTGCTGCACAGCTGTTATTTAGGGTCTAGCAGAGGATTTATTGCCTCTGGTTTTGAGACAATTGAAGGGAACAATATTCTTTTCAGGGTAGGATGGGAAAAAAGTTCCCAGTGTCACTTGGACAGACATGACTTGTGAGGTATCACGGGAACTTTGGTCAGAAATAACTAAATGAGGAGAAAAGACAGTCTTGACCACCTGAAGATGTCTTATATCTGGCTTGGGTTTTTGTTTGCAATCAGCTTGAAGAACTAAAACAAAAGCAGAAGCTCAACAGACAGAAAGAACAAGAAAAGAGAAGGAAGCTTGAAGCTAAAAAGAAAATCAAGGAAAAGGCAGAAGGAAAGGTGAGCATCGGCTATGATTTTGATTCTTTGAATCTTATAGAAGCAATAAAAGTCATCCTGAAACTACATCTTCAGTTTGTTATGTGTTAAATTTTGGTGCTCTATGTGCAAACAATTACAGTTGACTAATTCTCAGTTAAATAATTCCCTTTCTTTTTTTTTTCTTTTTTGCCTTCAGGAATCCTCTGGCAAATCTAAAGCAAAGACAAAGAAACCACTGGATAAAAATTCAAAGAAATCCTTTTGCAGGGAACTCAACAAGGTGAGTTGCTTTAACTGCATCATTTGATGTGAGTCAGCAACAACACCACTTTTTATTTTCCTTTTCTGCATTATTCTGCAGCAGCTAAACAGTATAAAGGTTGCTTGTGATAAACTTCCACACTTGAAGTAAGGGCTTTTATGACTGAAACTGTGAGGCTTTCAGTCTTGTCTCGTTTGAGTTACAGAGACATGCAGCACTTTGAGGCATCAGACTTCTTGAGCCAGTGTCAGTACATACTGAGTGATCAGAGGGGTGCTAGTGTCTAAGGATTTCTTGCCTTTGGAGGAGAAAGATGAAAATTGCTTCAGCTTTCTGGTTTGTCATTCAGGAGAAAGAAGCTCAAACAAGAACAGTCTTATGAAACCTCACCAATCATTCTGTGAAATTCAACATTAACTCTTGTAAGCCACAGCTATTCCAGAGGTGTCATCTGTCAAATTGTCTTCTTTCTTTTCTCCCTCTTTTTCTAACCTAGGTGATTGAGGCCTCAGATGTGCTTCTAGAGGTTTTAGATGCAAGAGATCCAATGGGCTGCCGGTGTCCTCAGCTGGAGCAAGCTGTGACTTGCTCTGGAGGAGACAAAAAGCTGCTGTTGGTTCTCAACAAAATTGGTAAGAAGCAGAGGTTCTCTTGAAGTGTTACTTGGTTCTGTGAGCTATGAAGAAGATTTTAAAGGAATCTGAGATTCCATTGAAGACATAAGATCCAACTCTGAGCTCACTGCCCTACTGAAGGGGTCACCTTTCCTCCTTTTAGTTATTTGCTAAGAAAACACCACAGAGGTAAATGCACAGTAGCCTCTTGCTTTTGCACTAACTTCAGAGGGCACTGACCAGTGTGAGCCAAGTTTGATTGAAGTTAAAGATGTTACACTTTTTAGCATTTTTATGAATGTAGGTGAGTAGGGAGGGGTCACAGTGCTGGTTCCCCCTGAGGCACTGGTGAGTTAAAGATCAGAAAATCAGTGGAACAGTTGTATTTGAAATTGGGCTTTAGGAACTGTTTACTCTCTTCTGTTGCTGTGTTAAAGAATGCACACAAAAACAGGCAAAACCAGCTAAGAAGGTTGGAAATTACTTGGTTAGCAGCAGCAAAGAAAAGACAAAGAAATACCAAGAGCAACAGCAAAGGGAACTTTGTATTAGAGTACCCTTTGCAGGGGTGATGGGATAATCCTCCACAGAACATCACTCTGTACCATACAAAGTCTCTTAGCAAGACCCCAGCAATAAAAACCTGATACACGGGCCAAAAATGTAATTGTGGTATGTTCTGCTTGGGGCAGAACCTAAAGACTAAAACTTGCAACACTGGGTGCCTTTGGGGAACATACCCAGTGCTGTACTAGAGTTTTCAGCCAATAATTATTTGTTATTAAGATACGTACCAAGTGGGCAAAATACAGCCTGGTTCCTGATTACACATTACATTTTCTTCACACAGTTAAAGATTCACAGGAGTAAGAGAACTGTGCTCTTTTTTTTCCCAGATTTAGTGCCAAAGGAGAACTTGGAGAGGTGGTTGAATTACTTGAAGAAGGAGTTTCCAACGGTTGCTTTTAAGTCAGCAACACTGATGAAGGACAAGATCATGGTAAGAGTGCTGCAGGCTGGCTCATTACTAAGCCATGTGTTTGCAATCACACAGGTTGAAACATGTTGAAAAACAAGAACTCTTGTTCTTGAAAATGCCTTTTTATCGTGTTTGATTATATTGCTGTGATTGATGCATAAGCCTTTGCACTTGGACAAAGCTTTGTGGTACAGTTGAGGAATCCTTGCTGTTGAAATACATGTTGTAACTTGTGCCTAGGACGCAAGGGGAGGAAGATAAGGAATTTTTAATCTTCTACACAGGATGATTGCACCAGTCACATGTCAGTTATAAGTAAAGTGGTACAGGCTGTACTATAGCATTCATCCTCTTTGTGGCCATCAGTAAAGGTAGCACCTTTCATGAAGAGTACAAAGGGGTTCACTCCCTGTGTCATAGTGTCAACTCCTTGAAGACAGTAGTTGGAGTCATATGTGTGTTGATACATAATGTTTCACATATTTTAACCCTGATAACAGCATAGCAAAATAGACTCTTCTGCAAAATGGGGCAGAAACTGTAACAGAGAGTAGGTTTTGAGCTCCTTCAAAAAAATGTCATTCTCTTGAGTAAATCTGCAGATTTAAGGATTCTGCCATCTGAATGTAGATGGTTATTTTATGGTTGCACAACAAATCTGCAACACAGCCTGAAATCATACGCCCTGTTAAGGCAATTCACATTCCTTTTTCTCTTAGCAGTTGATGGCTATCTTTTTCACAGCCACTTAACTATTAGCCAATTTCTTACTAAACTTAATTCCTTCTGTTCAGAAGTGCACAGTAGCATCACCTAATAGAGGACAGGAGTTGGAAACACTACAGTAGCTAAATTAAGCACACACATTATATCTTCCTGCATAGCTCCTGACCATGTTTTTTTTTGCCTTTGAATCCTGTAGCAGCAACAGCAGCAGAGGTTCACAAAGAGACGTGCACATGTTGATTTAGCAATAACCACTGAACGATTTGGAAGCAAATGCCTTTTGAAACTACTTCAAGAGTATGGCAAGACTCAAAACAAACCCATTCAGGTTGGGGTAGTAGGTAAGCATTTGGAGAGAGGGCAAGTTTCCTCATCCTCCCATGAATCTTTGGTAACCTGTATTATAAATTTGGTAAAACAAATAGTACATGATTGGCTAATGGGCTTTCTAGTCATTGGTCCTATTTTAAGAGTCACTATTGTAGTACTGCAGTTAACAGTTCTCTCTGTTGCACTCACAGTGTGAGAAATGAGGATACAGACTTTGTCTTACTTCTGTAGTGAAGACTTCAGATCCAACTCTGATCTCACACTTAAAGATGTCCTCTACCAAAGACATCTGGAAGAAACTATTTTAATCAGTGTTACATAGGTTTAATTTCTTAGTTAACTTAAAAGGATTTTTGTGATTTTCTTCAGGTTTCCCTAATGTGGGAAAGAGCAGCATAATCAACAGCCTTAAAGGAGTTCGTGCTTGCAATGTTGGCCTGGCCAGGGGAGTTACCAAGTAAGCAGAGTTTGATAAAAGCTGTTCATGTTTGTTGTTGTGTTCTGATTGAGTTTGTTATTTGTGTACAGTTTCCATTCACTAAGGGCAAAGTATGCTACCCCGTGCATTTTTAAATACACATTTCAGTTTGCCAGGATAAAAAGGTACTGATGTGAGGTGCATTTTAGATTCCACTCCTACACAAAGCATATGATGAAACACTGAAACTGACTCTGTATGAAGTGCATTCAATCCAATACTGAGCTTTGTGTCTTCTGTCCCTCACCACTACCAGTGCTTTGCTAGTTGATTTAGCCTCATCTACTCACAGTGCATTTCTTTCTGAATAGGTCCATGCAGATTGTGCACCTTGATAAACAGACAAAGATATTAGACAGTCCAAGCATAATTGCAGCTCCTTCCAATAGTGCCTTGACTCTGGCCTTGAGAAGTATCATAGACACTGAAAAATCAGGGTCAGCAGATGTGCTCGAAGGAGTAGATGCCATTCTGAATCACTGCAGTAAACAGCAGGTGAGCTCCATCTTTTCCTGCATCTCTCACTGCATTTGACTTCTCTGTAGGTTTCTTAGGCCAATAACCAAAGTTCCGTTCACTTCAAGTAGTTCTGGTAACTTTGGCACGGCTTTCCCCATGCCGTACAGAGCGGCAAACTTTGGCCATTGTATCCAGCACTGAATGTGATCTTTCATCCTTACATATGCAAGGGAGAAACATCATGCCAGGATCCTGGAAGTCCAGAGTGTGTCTTCCCAGTAACTTTTCTGATTTTTAAAAAACCCTGCTTTTAAGATCTCATCACAGTATTGCAGAGTGAAAAATGAGGAGATTCTTATTGCTTCCTATTACTACAGTGAAGACCTCAGATCCAACTCTGATTTCACTCTAGTTTCAAGCAGATTATCCTAAGACTGATTCCCATTCAGTTCTGTGATAACTGTTTTTGTAAAACCAGTGTGCTGTCTCTATACACCCACTAGTATGGGTGAGCAGCAGATGAAATTTGTTGATGCAGGAGGCATTTTGCTTTGTAATGTTTACTCCCACATGCAAGAGAAGAACAACTCTTCACATGTTCATCCTCACTAACCCAATTTATTTGCTTGTTTATTCCTAAAACTAAGAGAGAAGTGGGTATCTGTCTCTGAATGTACCATTTTCTTTTGCACTAGGTAATGATGCACTATAGTATCCCAGATTTCAGGAACACTGAGGAGTTCTTAAGTTTACTTGCTCAGAAAAGGGGTATGCTGAAAAAGGGAGGTGTTCCTGATGTAGAGAATATAGCTAAATTACTACTTTGTGACTGGACCGGGTACGTATGCTATCAATTTTGCTTTATGCTGCTCACCTTTTTCACATTCTTAATCCAGCACAGGAGAAGCTCTGAGTCCTGAGAAATATTTAGAGAGACTGATCTCTCCCTGCCCCCACACTCACATTTTACTTTGATAAAGTGAGCTCAATTGGCTAATGGATTTAGAGAGTGGCATCCATGGATAATTTTCTGAAGTGAAGGATCCATGGAAAGAATAAAAGCACATTATTCCCTAGCCAGTTTGTTGACTTCTGCTATAAATCTATTAGGGGGATTTGCCTTCCTCTCAAATGCTGAGTCCCTTTTGTCCCTTCTACCAACAGGAAAGGATAAGGCAAATTTTCTGTGGAAATTTATAGTGGTTGCTATATTCTGAGGGTGTAACTCAGCTGGTTTTACAGTTTATGATTTTACAGGCAGATGATGTGTGACACAGTGTGCTGTTTCTTTTTTCTCTCAGGAGTAGGTTATCCACTTAATACTGTTAACTGACAACTTCAGAGTCAAATTGAAATAGCTATTTAACTGCTGTTTAACAGATTATAATAAATGAGTAGTTAGGTTGCGTTTGAAGGGTATGTGCTCTGGGTTTTATTTTTAAATACAGTGATTTAACTGCCTTACCTTTGCTTGGATTTTAATGCCAGTATATTATTTTCCCAGAGCTAAAGTAAGCTACCACTCACAACCTCCAGGATCTCAGAAACTGCCACCATATCTTACAGAAGACAAAATAGCTGAAATGCAGGAATGCGTTAATTTAAAGAACATAGAAGAAGAAAACAAAAACACTGTTCAAGGTAGGTCTGTTACTGCAACGCACTGCGACTGTTAAGAGTGGCACTAGTATTTTTAATTGGAGACTTTGAATAAAAGTCCTCCTGGGGTTTATATGATATCTTTGCCAAGATGCAGTGAATATGAACCTTTTAAGAAAGAAATGGATTCTGATACAAGAGAACAGTGTGCAGTGTTAAATTATCCCTGCACTAGTTTCTGCTCATCTGACCTAACCCTCCTGAACAGGAAATAGGGGAAAGAATGTTGAAGAGCACATAAACATTGTCTAATTAGACCAACACAATACATTTTACTCAGTACAATCTGTACTAAAATCTAAGTCTTTCAGCTATCAGTCTTCTGTAGATGAATCAAGGGAAGTGGTTATCAGAGAATTATCCTTTGTTCTATCTGCTTAGGTGGGAGTTACTATGGAAGGGAGGGACAGGACTCTAGTCCTTTAGCTGTGACCTAAAATGGCTGTCCTCTCAGGTGTAGGTATTACATCTGGTGTTGTCTTAACAGACATTTCCTGTATTTTTGCAGCTTTAAAATTCCCCAGTCCAGCAAGCAGTGTCATTTTCCAGTCAGCTGGTATGACAAATGGGATAATAGACGAAAATAAAGTGATAGAGGATGCATCAGAGTGGGATAACATGGAAACAAGTATGGAGGGGGAAGAAGATGATGAAGAGGATTTCACAGAAAGTGATGACGAGCCAGATGATATGGAAGAAGAAAAGAACATCGAAGAGGTAAAATAGGTTTAATTAGGCTGCTTCTATCTTTAGATGCTGACAGCAATATGCAGTCAGTATCCTGCTGTAAACAGAATGTGTAGGCACTGTAGAGCCATCAAGAGTAATCAAAATACTTTCTCCTCGAGATAAGGGTTGGGCTTTTTGCTTCATTAAGGAAACAACAACGTTCTAAGTCAGCTCCAAGGCAGTGTGTTCCTGACCAACTATGCAAGGGGACATCCACACTATCATCAGTCTCTGTTAGGTGTCATATGCATAGGATATGTATGAATAAACACTTCTGCCTTCTCTGACTTGTAGGAAAGCAAAGCTCAGGTCACCAGGAAAGCAAAATTTGGAAAACGACAAACAAGCTCTGGAAATCCAGAAGAGCAGCCAGCAGGTATGTATCAAAATCCCTGGCTGGAAGGATAGTCTATAGCACTTCAGCACTTGCATTGGTTTCACTAACACATGATTTTCTTACCTCAGAAGGTGAACATTCCAATTCACTACCACCCAGCTTGGATAAGACAGCAGATGAAGATGATGCCTATGATTTTAATATAGACTATGTGTAATGAATTGTGTGTGAAGACACTGGAGACTCACTATGGACTTTCACAACAGTTACAAAGACTTGTGTGGTGCCAGAAGTTGGAGGAATGCTGCACACCAGAGCTGCTGCAGAGATTCAGTTATTGCTGTGTCAAATGATGTACATAAATAGTGTATCTCCCTTGATTGTTCCAGATTTTATACAAGTCTAGGAAACCAACAGTATTCAGCTTTAAGGCATTAAAAAAGCCTATTTAAAAAAAATCCTAAGTACTGGGTTAATCTCACTTTGCCTTGTTTCAAAAGGTGTTTCAAAAGGATAAACCCTTTACTTCAAAAACAATGGTAAATGTTTAATTCTAGTTGTGTTAGAGTAATTAAATTTCAATGGAAGTTTGCATCCTCCAGAACTTCCTCCCAAAGGATCACAGAGACTAGAGCATGACTTAAGCTTTCAGTATACTTTTGCAGAACTTGTAGAACTTTCACATATAAAGGTTGGTTAAAAAAATGCTACTGATTTCAGCTAGACTTTTATCCAAGAACAAGCACTGCTTTGTATGTTCAGAAGCTTCGCTGAGGTAACAGAGAATTTGTCTTCGCTGGGGATCAAGCTTCTTGTTCCTACTTTTGTTCCTTGAACAAAAGTCATTTCCTGGTGACACTGACTATACGTGGCAACAACTGGTAACAAAAGCAAAATGCTGCCCTGTTACTGCATTCAGCTTATAGCACATCTGGGCTAACAAGGTAATTACCAAGAGGCCCTGCAGCTGTTAAAAAAATTTAGAATAAACACCTGACACCAAACAGCTTCCTCCTATGCACCTGCTTCCTTGCTAACTTACAGCTCTGATATCTGTCTTCTTTAATAGATAGTTTTAATTTCCCTAAGCATATACTGAGGTACAGTCCTCCTGGGCAGGTTAAAAATATGCTTAGGGAAATTAAAACTGAGGTACAGTCCTCCTGGGCAGGTTAAAAAAATACCAAGTGCAGACAGTCACATGCAGTTTAGTTAAGCCTGCTAAAACATCCTGGTCATCAGAATTAAGCTGGTGTCAGTTACCCGAGTACAATGTTTCAAAGTTTGGTAACTGAACTCAGTTCATTACTCCCAACCACTTCAAGGACAAAGAATGGTTCCTGTTCATGAAAACCCAGGAAAATAAATGATAGGTAACAAACCTATCAGCATCCATGACAGAAACAGAACCATAGGCAGTGATTTCCATGAGTCAAACAGTTGGAAATCCTTCTAAAGAGTATAAAACTACATCCATACACATGAACAGGCGCTTGAGCTCTGCTGCCCTGCTTCTCAGACCATGCAGTGCTGAGCCTGTCACTACATTAACACAAAGCCTCTTCTCCAAACATCTACTGAGGACTGTTCACAAGCAGGATTACTGAATAATAGCCAGTACTCAAACTTCACAGTACAGCTATAAAAAAACAAAACAAAAAACATTGAAACCCAAAAAAGCATACCTGTATAAAAGGTGACGGGCATCTGGCTACAAAATGGCACAGGAGTCTTGCTTGATGAGTTTGAAGGGCCAGACTGAGAAAGGAACAGTGGACAAACTTCTATAGCAGAGCCCTGCTCACTTGAAAGAGCTATAAGGAACTTAACAAAATTAATCTGTAATTCATATAGCCTGATGCCCAAAACAAATGTGCACAATTTTAGAATGAGATTGCTTTTACAAAGATGAGATCAACGTGACTTCAGTTTCAATCACTTGCTACTGTATTTAAGTACAGAGGAAACAATACACTCCATGTATCAGATCAAGACTGGAATCGGATTGCTGTTTAACCTGAGCTTTGAGTCAATATGTTAAATTAGCATTTATTTTGAACAGTTTTCTCCACCATTTTACAAAAGTTGTAGTGTTCACTGGCAGTTAAAAACACTTTGCATAGTGAAATAATACTTGAAAAATTCATCTTTCAAAAACAAGATTTACTTTTGCAGAATTCTGCAAGAAAGGCTTACACTGAAATGTCTGGGAGGAGATTTCATGCAAGAAAGAACTGTGAATGAAACTATTTCACAAGATGAGAAAACAAAACAAACCAGAAAAATCCTAAGCAGCTCTTAATTACAGTACATCACTGTGCAGGTTTTGCATGGTGCAAGCACCAGATTAAGTTGTATCTTGTTCTTAGAAACAGTTGCTTTCTGTAGCTGACCAAATGATCCTCTAGAAGACTTGTGGTAAAGAGCGGAGGAATGTACAACAGACAGAAATGAACTAACAGAAGTGCCAGTTCGTGGAGATCCTCCTTTCTGTAGTGCTGCTGGAGCAGCATCTTATGTCACACACAAATGAAGTGCATCTCCTTTGGACCTGCACCTTTCAGAACTGCACCCAAGTGCTCCTGAAGGTAATACAAGTTGACTAAAAAAAGTTCTGCTTGGCTCCAGAAGTTTCCTGAGAAAATGCCATCAGTTATTAAAATTGACGCTACTTTGCTTCATAGGCTTCTGAATGCCTACGGATCAGGCTGAACTTGCCGGTGGGGTCAGGGATGTACCACTTCTCCCAGACTTCAGCATATGAAGCTGTTCTTCCCCAGGGTTTGAAATGTCCATTCCAATGGAGCAGCTTGGCAGCTTTCACAAACTGAGGAGAGTACCTTTTACCAGCACTAGACCCTTTTATTAAAAAAGAAGCATTAGTGCCTGAAAGAAAGGCAGCAGAAACAACAACATACAGTATTTTAACTTCAAAAGAAATTTTGTCATTTTTGGAGAAAGGAAGTAATACAGGAGGGAGAAATCAGGGCAAAGTGAAAAACAATCAGGTGCAACTGACCTGTCCCAGTATCTATTTTACTGTACTGCCTTCATTTCTAAGGTCTTTAAAACCCCCTTAATGGATTCAGCAGCCTATGTATTGTTCACTGGAAACAAAAGCCAAGAAAGCTCTCCCAGCGCTGGGGTTTCAGCAGTGGCAGAACAGATAAAAATATCTGTTACTCTCAACAGTCTCGAAGGAGATGCCTAGGATCACCTCAGATATAAATATGTATGTGAAAAAGGAAACGGAAAACAAAAAGCAATTTGAAAGTAAGACAATTAAAGAACTATCTCCCTACCAGTTCAAAAAAGAACATGAAGAATCAGACCACAAGCCTCAGGATGGTACTGCAAAGCAGTGTTTCTTAAAGAAAGGCCTACTGGATGGGACTTTGAGCAACCTGGTCTAGTGGGAGGTGTCCCTGCCCATGCAGGAGGTTTGGAAATAGATGATTTTTAAGGTCTCTTCCCACCCAAACCACTCTGATTTTACGATTCTGTGATAAAATAGGAAAAGGAAAGATCCATTTGCTTCATCATGAACTGAATGTCCAGCTGCAGATCTGGAGAAACACACCGGGGGAGCAGCATAACTCTCATACATACCAAGGTGCCGGACATTCCACATGGGGTCAATACTGGAATGTTGCTTGTAAAATACAATCAGCAGTGGAGGTGTTGTGATGCTGCCAGCCAGAGTCCTACTGTAAAGTTCCTCTCTGGAAGAGAAGATTGAAAGAAGTTGGGAAAGGATGCCCTAAATCAGTTGTATCTCTTTTGCAGCTGCATGACAGGAATCCACAGATTCACACACAGCCCTTCCTTGACCAGTTAAATGACATCACCATAACCCCTGAACTTACTCTACGTTGAGTGTCATCCACTTCTCCAGTTGCTTAGTGATGTTCTGTAATTTCCACTCTGTCAAATTGGCAACAAAAACTCCTGGATTGAAAGAGCAGGTGTTGGCTTTCATGGCAAGCTTTCGGATGGTTTCTTTTTTGTAATCTAGAAACCCAATGTAATTATACTGGAAAGAAAAAAAGAGAGTAGAAAATAGCTTAAAACTACTTTTTAAGGAAAAATTTTGCACAACTCCCAACAGTGAAGCACAACTTCACTGTTGCCAAAGGAAATACAGAGAGAAAAAGCTTAAAAGGTCTAATATTTTAAAAATATTATTATATAAACTACATCTTTTAAGGATGCTGCTGGGTCTTGTTAATGCTACATAGTTAATGTGGTACTTCCAGAAAAATTACATTTTATACACTCAAAAATGAAAAATTCTCCCTTGGATGTTCTTAGACCTGATGTTTCACACTGGGAAACACTCTCATTGTAAAGCTCAGCAAAAATTCAAAGTGCTTTTACTGCACCTAAACAGAAACTGCAGGCATCATCTGTAACACAGACATCAGAGTAAACAGATTTGGATAGGGACAGTGACATCTTTAGATTCACTGTGTTTGGAAGTGAACCCGCAAAAAACATTAAAACCAAGTGCCTGTTTCCAAAGCCCGGGATCTATGGCATTGTTGCTACTGTATCAGGATAAAACTAACCTGATTGCCTGCTCCACGGACAGCAACTTTATTAGTGGTTGAGTCACAATCATCTGAAAATGCAGCTGCATGTCCAGGTTTCAATGGAGTGTTGTAAAGTTCAAGAATATCATCTGAAAAATGGAAGTAAGCACAGAAGACTCAAAAGCAATCCTGATTAAGTGCTGAATGACTTTTTGCTCACTCCATTGCTACAGCAGATAAGACTACTCACTTTAATCCAACTCATTCAAATTAAAAATTTTTTACATCTTTCCTTGAAGTAGAGGTGTTTGGTGACTGTGAGAGATGGCATGCTGAGCTCAGCATAAGGCTAAGGTCCCATACCTTGCACTATTACATCATCATCCACATAGATGGCCTTCTCTGCATGAGGGACCAAGCTGGGCAAGTAGAATCTTGCAAAGGTTAACTGTGAAAACAAGAAAGCAAGAGAAGAATTTAATTAAAAATTGTCCAAGTAAATGTGAAATTGAATACTCCTGGCACTAATGTCCAAGATAACTTCTATCAAGGAAGTAAAATAGGCAGAAACATCATAGAAGTTATTGAAATAAAAAGGTTCCACCAAATCCTGGTTTCCTGTTGGCATGCTTCACATGCAAGCTGCTGTAGCTAGCAGCAAAAAATGGTACTAGGCATGCATGTATAGATATTCAAATCCATCTCCCACTATCTGGAAACTTACTCTTACTGAAATTTAGGAATTCTACACTAACAGATTTGGTTTTGATCTCTAGATGCGTCCAAAAGCCAGTATCAAAATAACTAACAACTGCATAAAGTAATCATCATAATCCTCACTGGTTTTAAGGTGTCTGCCTTTTGAGGATCCACTTGTACTTTCCCTTCTAAGACTCGAGGATCAAAATCCAAAATTCGGTATCTCAGGTTTTTCAGAGCAGTGTTACTCAGCCACAGCCTGCAAACAGAAAGGCACAGATTTTGTTAAATGAGACAAAATCAAATAAAAAGGAAGAGATCTGATTGACAGTGACACAGCTCTTGATCTGGCCACTCCCTTCCCTATCCAACATTCACACACAGTGTAAACTATGTCTGATGGTGATGGTGTCCCGTGTGACTGCAGGTGTGTGCCCACTATCAGACTCTGTTGTGAGGTTGCTTCTTTTTTTATTAGAAATATAGACCTGTTAGTACAGATCCTTAAAAAAAAAATAACAAAAAACTAAAAATTGGTGTGGATGGATGTGGGTAAAAATAAAAGGATCAAAGAACAATCTAGAAAAATGGAGACACTTCATTCCCAGCATTTGAATGGCTTAGCTGAAATGTAGGAAGTAGCTTTTACAACCCTCCACCAATAAACTACAATCCCACTGGCTGGATATAACCCCACTAGAAAAGGTGGCTCTCAAAACATTACCAGGAGGAATGACTGCAGGACTCCTCACAGCAGCCTTAACCAAAAAACTGCAACAAGCAGCAGCAGACAGGACTGTAAACAATTTAGATGAGTGCAGTTCCAGGGAAAGTCAGGTCTTCCCCTTTTCAGACATACTTCAGTTTTACAGTACTGTGGGAATCTAATGAAAGATCATTACCTCAAGTGATCCACAGTATCATTCAAAGTAACAATGTAGAAAACCACGTTGGATCTGGTGTGACGGTAAATACTGTTCATGGCTGCAATAGCACCCCCGAGCCTTTCATCTGATGCTGCAATGACCACAGAGATCTCCTTATCATTCCTTGCATCTGCCAGCCTCTGGGGAACTGCAGGTATGAAATCTATCGGCTGAAGTCCTAACGGGTTTGAATCTGCAGAGTACAAATGGCATCACACCCTTCTTTTATGTAAATTAAACACAGACATTATTACCACGCTAAAACTCCCAACACCTTAAATTATTTCTACCATGCAAGCACTTGGATGTCTCAGCTGAGGTATGGATCACAGCTTGCCTGTATCTATCACATAAAATATAGCACCTGCTCTTGAGAATCCAAACTGTTAATGAACAGGAAAACATCACACAAATAAACTACATACATTTAACCATACATATTCCCATACAGCACAACAAGCTACTAAAATGAGGCTTAAATTACAGCAGGCTGCACTTAATGTGGCTCCTTCTGCCATGTCTATGATCTCACTGACTTCCCTCTCCCATTTGCCCTAACCACCTTCCAGTCTTCTCCCCTCACACATGCTTTTTTTCCTACTTTATTTTCGTCTTGGGTAGGAACCAATTAAGAAAACAGAAATTCTACACTGAAGTCACAGCTGTGAATTTTTTCCCACCAAAGATCAAGGCATTAAGTCCAGCCCAGGTTTACTGCAGGCACCACAGACCACACAACATTATCAAAGTTACTCTCAGTGTGCAGCCAGGAAAAGGGGAGATCAGCATTGAAATGTACTCCCAGACACCATCACCTGTAAAAGCTGGCAAACTGCCCACTCGCTGCACTTTTTATAACAAGGCTGGCACCTTTCAGATGACCTGGACTATTACATATTGGATAACTTTAGGCAATTTGAGGAACACAAGCAAGCAGGAGCTTGGCACTTTGTGGGCAACGTTTTGCTGTTATAAAGCTGGCTTCTGTTTGCCACTTTCTGACGACAGAGCTCAACAGCTTTGACTCCAGCTGAACCCTGGTTAAAGCCTAACAGGCTCCTGCTCAACTGCTGTTGGGAAGCACCTGTACAACTGCTACACAGGAGCAGCAAACTGGGACAAACTGGGACAGCTGGTGGGGACATGGAAAGGCTCTGTGGGACCATGTGTAGTTCTTAAAAGTGGACTCCCAAAAATGAAATGGCTTTGCTAAGTAAACCAAATTGTATCCTAAAGACTCTAAAGCCAGAAGGAACACTTAACTGCTATCTTACTTGGCTTCCTGACAAAAAAAGTCAGAGGATAGCAAGAAGAGACAAGCCCACCAAGCTGATGTTTCTTGGGTATTAGAACAAGAGCTGATCTACTCAGAGGGAGTACAAAAATTCTATCTTTTGATGTAAATTATTGATCATTATCACACATACACAATTTCAGCTGGTTTCTGAACGCATGTGTTTTCCTGCCAATCTTATATTTTAAAAAAACAACAACCCAACATACCTGACAATTCCCGTTTCAAGAAGTCACTGAGGCCTAGGAAATTATGATGAAGAACTAGCAAAAATATGACAACAGCCACTATAAGGATGGAAATGTTCACTGAAAATTTAAAAGAAAAAAAGGTGATCAATATAACCAGAGAATGACTGGGCAACTCCAAAAAGTGCAGAAGAGGTTTTAATTTTTTTAAATTAGACACATGCATATACACATACCTTTCCTTAATGTCATTTTGTTCTTCTTTTATTTTATTTCTTAGCACAAGCTTTCTACAAACCTGCAAGAGAAAAAATGCCAGCGGTCACTTCCTCCTGGCAGTGCCTGCCCACAGGAGGCATGGCACACTGCCACCAACACTGCCAAAACAGTTTCTGAATGCAGTGAATGTTTCTTTCTCTTGAAAGAAAAAAACTGCATGTCACATAACTGAGCATGATAGGTCAGTAAGTACATAGCTACAAAGATGTATTTAAAGAACTCAGAGATGAAAAGGGAGACAGAGAGATCTTGCTACTTCATTGAGAGGAAAAAAAAATAATTCAAACTCTTTCTGCCAGTCAAAAATGATCTGGAAAGAATCTGGAAGATTATGTATGTTTTGGTTTGGTTTTTTACTGTTGAGCCAATTTATTAACTGCAAGATTTTGGCAGGACAGAGAGTTTATAAGACGTTAACAAATCGCATGATACACTTTCAAACCCATCAAATTATCTACATACAATATAACAGGATATCAGCTGCAGTATCATCACACACACAAAAAAAAGATCACAAAAGTGTAAAAGAAGGTGTTACCATCACGTTATATCAGGGGATAAAAACTAACAGCCCCACTGCAAGCACCGATGCAATTCAGACATCTGTTCATTCTCTAACGGCACCCGACAGTGAAATCAGAACAAGAACTACGTGCCCTGGAGCGCGAAGCAGCTCCCCAGTAACACAGCAGCACCCGCAGCACGACATGCAACAGAGACAGCTCTATATGGAAAGGCAAGATGTCCGGATGAAGACGCTGCAGGCTGTGCCGTGCCCGCTCCGTGTGCCACACACCCCCCGCCGCTGCTCCCCGGGAG